TTGCCCAACCTTCCTTCTGAGGAGTGGCTGGTGGGTTTGAACCGCCAGCCTTCTGGTGAGCAGTCAAGTGCCTTAGGCACTGTGCCACCCGAGCTCCTAGTATATAGTGCAGTGTTTCTAAATCTTAGCCGTTTATCTCCCATCTTCATGTTTTGTCAGGGCCATGTGTTACCTCTAATGTTACTTACTTTGTATTTTAAATGATTATCCTTTTTAAATAAATTTAATTGTAAGGCATAGCTCTCACTGTTAAATGTGGAAGAGAAGTATGGTGAATCCTGGGGAGCCAGAACTCAGCAGCATGGCCTTGTTTGTTCAGGTCTTGCCACTTTTCCACGTTTGACCGGGTACAGTCTGGCCACTTTTCTGTTGCTCTCTATTAGGGGAAGATACCTGAGTTTTCCTTCACTGACAGGTTCCAGCTTTCACAGGTTTTACTGTATTGCTTCCAATAAATTAAAAGTACACATAGTTATCATTAGGTGCCATCAAGTAGGTTACAAGTCACAGGGACCCTCTGTACGATAGCACATCCTCACAATTGTTGCTAGGCTTGAGCCCATTGTTGGAGCCACTGTGTTACTCCATCTCGTTGAGGGTCTACCCCTCTTTATCTGACCCTCTACTTTACCCAGCATGATGTCCTCCTCCAGGGACTTGTCCCTTCTGACAATATGACCAAAGTAGGTGAGACAAAGTCTGGCCATTCTCGCTTCCAAAGAGCATTCTAACTGTACTTCTTCTAAGGCAGATTTGTTCAGTCTTCTAGCAGGCCATGATGCATTCAGTATTCTTTGCCAACACCACAATTTAAATGCATCAATTCTTTTGTCTTCCTTATTCGTTGTCCAGCTCTCACATGCATATGAGACTATTGAAAATCCCATGGCTTGGGTCAGATGTACCTTAGTCTTCAAAGTGACATCTTTGCTCTTAAGTACTTTAAAGAGGTCTTTTGCAATAGATTTGCCCAATATAATATGTCATTAGATTTCTTGACTTGACTTCTGCTTGATTGTGGATCCAAGTAAAATGAAATCCCTGACAACTTCAGTCTTTTCTCCGTTTATCATGATGTTGCTTATTGGTCCAGTTGTGAGGATTTCTGATTTCTTTATGTTGAGGTGTAATCCGTAGTGAAAGTTGTAGTCCTTGATCTTCATCATTAAGTGCTTAATGTCCTCTTCACTTTCAGCAAGCAAGGTTGTGCCATCTGTATATTGCAGGTTGTTAACGACACTGCCTCCAATCCTAATGCCATGTTCTTCTACGTATAATCCAGCTTCTCAGATTACTTGCTCAGCTATAGATTGTATAAGTGTGGTGAAAGGATACAACCCTGACACACCCCTTTCCTGATTTTAAACCATGCAGTATTTCTATATTCTGTTCAAACTACCGCCTTTTCGTCCATGTCCAGGTTTAACACGAGCACCTTTAAGTGTCCTGGAATTCCTGTTCTTGGTAATTGCTTGAACAATTTCTCTTAGAAAGATCAGCATGAGGCCGGTCCCCATGAGGCGGAGGTCAAAGATG